CTTTGTGCACAGAGGCATTTCCAATGATAACTGAAGCCCTCTGAAGAAGGTGTGGGAGAGCATGGGGGCACAGGATAGGTAAATAGGTTAAAGCAAGCAATTTGTATGCCTCAGAATCCTCCTGGGATCACAGTGTTAATTTGGGGGAGGATGAACAGTTTGAGAGTCTCAGGAACTTTGGAGTACTACTTACTTAGTTGGGGGATACATGCAAAGTGAAATGGAGCAGCAAGCCTGACTTTTTGTGTGCACAGTTGGTTCTCATGAAGAAACTCTGAAAGGTGAATAGGAAACCACTTAGCACCTTTAACTCGAGAAGTGCTATAAACTAAGGCTTTTGTAATACCTTATTGGTGGACTGGGTTTTTTGTTTTTTGTTTTTTTATCCCTCTAAGACAGTAAATCTAGTATTCATTCATACCCTCCCCATTCTTGTTGGGGGTGGAACAGGTATTGTGAAGTGCTCTACCACCACTCAAGAATTCCAGCATTTTCAACATTAATGGTTACCTTATCCTAAAATGGCTATCTATGTTTAACACACACACACACACACACACACACACACACACACACACACACACACACGAGAAAGAATTGACTCTTAAAATTGAGCATCAGTGGCTGAGGGGAGGAGCTGGTCCCTCAATATAAAATCCATCTCTAGTAATAGCAGAGAGATAGCAACTTGAGTGATAGAGTGATCTGGAAGCTATGGGACAGGCAGGTGTAGACAGGAGGGTAACCTTGTTTATTCTTTTTAAGGCTACCATCACCACCAGTACACAGCTGCTGAGGATGACATGAGCCCTGCAGAGAGGTATCTGGGCCTTGGTAGAGGGAAAGAAACCAGGAAACTAGCAGAGAACTCATTGCATCTGCATCACAATTGCTTCAGCAGTATTGCAGAAATGGCCCAATTGCAATCATCTGGTCCCAAATGTATTTTACAAAATGTGAAATTTTCATTTACCCTGATCACAGTTAAATAGTGCCATCATTAAAAAAGCATTTGATAAATGTGTTCCATGTTCTTCTTTAATAAGTATGGGATTGTCCTCACTGCTACCATTTCTAGGATGCTTATCATTGTAGATGATTCACACTTAATGCTCCTGTGATAGCATCAAAAATCTATATGAATTATTGTCCTTTTTTTTCAGATAAAATTAATGCTCAGAGAGCTGAAGATTCGACTTAAGTCTGTAATCCTAGCACTCAAGAGGTTGAGGGAGGAGGATGAAAGGTTCAAGTTGGCCTGGGCTACATAACAAGACCCTATCTCAAAAACGAAAATTTGACATAGGTCACACATTTGTACAGGATTATATGGAACTGAGTCCTGAAATTACCTGTTCATTTTAATGAATGCTGCATTGGCTTTCTAAATTTTAACTTTTCAAGTTACCCAGGACTCGATTATCCTGAGGTTCTGCAAAGAGTAAACAATGGCTTGACTGAGTTTGTGACCAGGAACTAACTTCTTGGGTGTCTCTGAGTTTCAGATAAACTATGTGGTGAGTTTGTTTGTGTTAAAGTCTCATTAAAAGCTTTATGAGACCCAACAGGAGAGACTGGGATGTGATTCATGGATAGAATACCTGCCCAGCATACACTTGGGGTAGAAGTGGGGTTGGGGCTCAGATTTGATTTTAGTTTTGCTCATCTACTTCTACTCAAATGGTGGATTTTTGTTAAGTCACTGAAACTTGTTGGGCCTTTGTAATGTACAGAACTACTAAAATTGAGAAAAAAAAATAGCTCTGAAAATAAAAACACCTTGGGTCAAAAATTAACATCTCTGAGTCACACCCTAAATGCTTCTTTTTAGAAAGGATTTTGTTTGGGTGGGCTGCTATAACAAAATCACAGTTTTATGACAGCCTTGAAGACAGACATCCAGGATCACTGTCAGCATGGCCAGGTTCAGATGAGGAACTTCCCTATTTTCTGTGCTCTTACATGGTAGAAAGTGAGCAAATTCTTCCTCACCTGTAGATTATGGTTGTTCTGTTAATTCCACAGATGGGAGGACCTAAATCACCATGGACAAACTAATTAACGAAAACATTTTTATTTGTGTACATGGCTGCCTCCCTCTAAGGCAGGGTTGGAAAGGTCAGCATTAGACATGAGGAAGACAAGGTTTTCATAGTTCAGGGGTAGGAAGTTTCCAAATGGGGGATTTGGTGGACAAAATAGGTGGAGTTATAGGTGCAGAATGTAAGCATAACAAAATTAGTCATAATGAGCTCCTGAAACAAAGAAATGACTGCAAGGTGGTCATAAGGTAGTCATAACAACATTTTGAAACAAGATGGCCATATATTATTGAAACAAAGACATGGTTGACATGGAACAGCCAGTACAGGACCATTTGTAGTTAGGGTTACAGGTGGAGCATCCATAGCCCAAATCTTGAGAAACAGAAGTTTAATCACAAACAGAAATGAAGCTGGTTTTTCTTTATTATAAGATGACTTTCAAGCCTAACATACAGGCTGGTTCATCAATTCCACTCTCAAAATCTCACTTGAACCTAAGTGTTTCCATCAGGCACTGCCTCCAAATGTCATCCTATTAGTGGCTAGGGTTTCAACTCATGAATTTGGGGCAGACACTGATATTGAGTCTCATGTTGTATTCAGTGCCATGTTGTACTCTATATGGCTTGAAGTAGATAGTTAAGTAGAACATTTACAATAGACCTGGCTCATATGAATTCAAATCTTTAGCCTGACTCAGCCCCACACTACATGGACATGCAGGCACTATATTAAGAAACAGAACAGGACAGACAGACATAGCGGATCGCTGGCCCTTTGGGACCTGGAGGGAGAAGATAGGAGATATGTTCATCTAAATAGACATGCTACAAACTGTGATGTTAAAAGTACCTAGGAGAATCTAAATGGAGGATCAGGAAAATCTTATGTTTGAGCCGAGATCTGAAGGAGCCCTGGTTAACTTAAGAGGAAAATTCCAGATTCCAAAGTGAGTCTTTGTGTAAAAGCCCAGAGGCAGCAAGACAGAGAGTTTCCAGGACTTGAAGACCCCCATGGGATAACAATGGCATGTTTCTCAGGTTGGTGTAGGCTATCTTATCAGATAGAATGGAAATAACTTTAGAGTTTTATTTTTATGTTTGGTTTTCGAGACAAGGTTTCTCTGTGTTGCCCTGGCTGTCTTGAAACCCTGCAGACCAGGTTGGCCTTGAAAGGAGGGATCTACCTGCCTCTGGTGAGGGGGACTCCAGTACTGTAGGGGCTCTCTTCCAGACCTTGGATTAGAAACAAACTACACCTAAACACCTGTTTTCCCGGAGAGATCTTTATTAAGGGGAAGGCAGCAAATGACCTTGCAGGTATACATTTTAAGAGGAGGAAAAGGGGATGTCTGTGTTAGAATGGGTTAGAGAATTGTCTAGGATGCAGTGGTAAAGGAGCTAGAGGATGAGGGAGAAAGGGAGGGGGACAAAGGAAATGGGGAAGGGGTACTTGTCCTGAGGGCACAAAGGATAGCCTCTAGATAGAGAGCAGACAGGTGTAGCATATAGGCAAATGGAGGTTTATAAAGGTAAATGTGGGAAACCAGTGTTAGGAAGAGGTGCTTAATTTTAATTGGTCATGTTAACTAGGTGAACCAAAGGGGTCTTCTGATAGCCTCAGGAGGAGGATGTGGCCAAATAAGGGAATAGACCTTGGTGACTAGTTTTAGGAATGTAATCAAATGGCCCAGGGAATGGGGAGAAGGGTAAGGCCTGCCAGGGTTTTGTGTTCATGTAGTCTAGTCTGTTCATCCGCAGTGCTGAGATAAAAGTCATGTTGCCACAGGCCTTGCTGACGTTTAGAGTTTAATCAGGGTAGTGCCAAGATGAATTTTGTGCTTGACAATGTTTTAGACAGCCCAAGGATTGGAGGAGACCTAGGCAGATGTGTGGATTCCAGAAAGAAGGTATAGCAACACTTTTGGGGAAATAGAGGCAACTGGGGCTATTGAGCAGAGAGAGAAGTAGGTAGGTTAAAGGAGGGGGGAACTCAAGAATATGTCAATAGGTTGGAAAACTGTGGAGAGGCTCAACTTTGCTAGCCTAGTGCTACTTGTAAAAATATTCAGATCCCCAGGAGGGATTTGGCTGGTAAAGTTCTTCTAGCATTAAGGAAGCTGTAGGCTCAATTCAGCAGCAGGGAAACTGGGCGTGGTGCTACATATCTATAATTCCTATCACTCAAGAGGTGGAGGAGGATCAACAATCAAGAAGTTCAAGGTCATCCTTGGATACAGTGTAAGCAAGTCTGGAAAAACATCAGACCCTGCTTAAAAAAAAAAAAAAAAAAATCCCTAGGAAGGTAGACACTCTTTAGCAAACAAAAACATTTTATGCAGTTTTGCACATTTTAAAAGTAAACCGGAACTTCCAAGACATGCCTGTGATCGGTATTTACAGCTGGTTAAAATTAGATTGAAACTTTTTTTTTTTTTACTGGGTTATTATATCTAACAGCAAGGAGAAAAAGAAAACTTTCTTATGTAGAGGACACTACTTTTAGTGTCACGAGAAAAGCTTTTCCAAGTTCAACAGTTACGAAAATACCATTCTTTGCCGATAGCTTCAGAGGTGACTTTTTGAGGCCACGTGGTTGGACTCTTGCGGCAACCACCACCAGGCAGGCACAGGAGCCCTGCTCGGAAACCCCAGGGGAGCCCCGCCCTTTGACGTGGAGGGCGTGGCCTTGGGGCCGCTCTCAGGAAGTTCGAGCGCGGTATGCCCCGCCCCCAGGGGCTTGAGTTCATGCCCTCCACCCACGCCTCCTCATCCGGGCGGCGCCCAAGGGATCTTCCTTCACTGCGTTTCAGAAATCCGGCCCACAAGCCCTGGAGGGCGTGACCTCAGGCCTCGCCCCTCCGCTTCCGGAACTTTGACCGCCTCCTTGAAGCTCCGCCCTCAGCGTCTGAGGGCGTGGCCTCAAGCCGCGCCCCTCGCTCTCCGGGGCTTTACCGCGTTTCGGCTGTCCCGCTCCAGGCGTCCCTCCTTGCTCTGAAACTCCGCTGCCGGCGGGATCCGGCGGTGACCAGCGGGGTGCGACACCCGAGCGAGCCTGGCCTCCCGCCCCCCTCCCCCAGGGGATGCCGCGCAGGCCGCCCGCGGTCCGCTCCGGGAACAAGCCTTGTCCCGCGCCCGCCATGGAGCCGGCCGACGGCGGGCCCTGGGCCCACAGCCGCGCGGCGCTCGCCCGCCTGGAGAGGCTGCTGCGCTGCTCCCGCTGGTAAGCACCGGCATAGCCACCTGCTGTCGCCTGCCACCCCACTTTACCCCCCGTGACCCGCTCCTGTCTTTTCCGAGTGGCTTTCCAGCCACTTGCCGCAAACTGGGTTCAAACGGCACTTTTCGAATTTTCGCGGGAGAACAGCCTTGGGGGCGTGGCCTAAAGCTCAGCTCGCTGGCCCCTCCCTGAAGGTGACGCTCCGATCTCGGGGGGGGGGGGGGACACTAAGGCTTTCGCGGTGTCTAGGTCGGTGTTTCGGGAAGGTGGGCCCCTCGTGCAGAGCCAAGTAAGCCCCTTTGAGGCTGACCTTTTGTACCTTTTCCTAGTAGCAGCCTCGACTTGGGGGAGAGCGGGCGGGAGAGATGGTCAGGGGTAGTTTGACGACGGCAGTGTGATGGGCGTCACAGTTTCTCCTTAGTTTGATGCAAAGACTGTGGCACTGTACCACTGATCTCCAACACGCCCTATCAAAGGTTTTGTTCTGTCCAAAATTCTCTGGCGAGTGGTACTGTAGCTGGTTGTCTAAAACGATCCAGGAAGTGCCTCGCTTTTCCCGTTTTCCTCTTTGGCGGTAGTGAATGTTGAACCTTCAGCCTCTAGCACTCAGCTGCTGCAGTGTTAAGCAGCAACTTTTTTTTTTCTTTGTTTTTTAAAGTCAGAAACACTCAACTGATACCGAAGCTCGCACTTACGTTATTATTTACAAAATCTAGTATCGGAAAGAATGACAATACAGTCCTTAGAAAACTAGAATTTTGTTAACATGAAGACATTCTGCGCTGTGCTTATGTTCTCCTGAAGCATATGGGCCATCCTTCTGGGCATAGACATTATCTGAAACTGTATTTCTAGCTGCAGTTGCAGAAGCCAATGAACCAAACAAAGGTAGTCACTAAGATGGAAACAGCATTTCTCTTAGAATGTGTCAGACCACTTGAGTTCAGCTTGCAGCCACATTTCTGATCCTCTCTGTACCTCAGTAACAGTAATTTGCTCACTCGTGTGTTATTTTTGTTAATAATAAACATTTATAGAACACTTAAGGCATGCTAGACAGTGTTCTGAGTAGGGAGACCTCCCAGTGTTTCTGTCACTCTGCCTTAGGGGTCTCAGACCTTCTATTTGTTAGAGAAAACTAAATTATACCTGTAAATTGTTTCCTGTGGTGATTATCATAAATGGTTACAAAAAGGTGATGGAAAAATAATTAAGTCTGTTTGCTGAATCATTTGGAAAAGACTAGGTAAAGTATATCAACAACCTGTAGATTGCCCTAAAATTAAACACTTTACCCTTTTACCAACTGCCAACTATTTCTTTACCATCTAAATTAAGTCAGCTTACCATAAGAGTCAAGAGCCCGAAGACAGACAGCAATAGTTAGGCCCAGGCTTTTAATATATCACATCCAGTTGGCCAGAGGATATTGGATTTCTGTTTTTTTTTTTTTTTCCCTTTTTAATTAGTGTATGAGCCTATGAGCCTCTGGTAGATGAACTAAATTAACTATTAATTTCATATAGGATTTTGAGTTAATTTTTTTCCTCTGAAGTGTCAGCAAATATTGCTTAGGTTTTGCAGCCACAATGGTCCATTTTCTTTCTCTAAAAAGGTTAAAACAGTGGGTGACTCATGCTTTTAATCTAAGCTCTCTGGAGGCAGTTATAATCAGATGGCTCTCTGAGTTTCTAGCCAACCTTGTCTACATAAAGCTCCAGGCCAGCCAGGGCTACATAGTGAGTCCTGGTCTCAAAAACTAAGTCAAAACAAAATTATAAAAATGTTCTCTGTTTGAAGGCTATAGAAAATCAGGCTGCTGGCTTGATTTGGACTAGGGACAACAACTTTCCAAACTTAGTTTTGTATTGTTTCTTTCTGTTGTACAGTGACTTGCTGTGTAGCCTAGAATAGCCTGGAAGATTTTATATACCCATACCATCCTTAAATTCAGTAATCTCTTGTCTCCTCCTTAGCTCTAGGATTGCAGATGTATTCCACCGTGCCCAGCTCCAGACTCAGTTCTAACCAAGGAAATTTAAGTTTAAAGACCCTTTGGGCAAGCAGTTTCACATTACACAGGGAATGAGTGACTTACATCACATCGGTAGTGCTTTCCTTTTCTCCTTTTGCTGTCCTTTAAGATCTCTTTGCCTCCCCGCTCACTCTTATTTGCTAGGAAAGAGCAACCCAGGATGGTCAGCTGCTGGCTTCGGCTCATGATCATCTAGAGTGTCCTGTTCTTTGAAATCCTGTATGTCCTTTTACACAGCTTCAGAGTCCTCCCCAGTAGGCTGGTGATTACCCCGATTACCCTCACATTCAGCTTGCAGCTGTCATCTCTCTGGTACTCCCAGCTGTCACCTGTCCTGTGTAGCACATTGGATCTGTTTTGTAGCAAGCAAGACTTGCTCTTGCAGTAGGTTGGCTGCATTACAGGCCTTCCTCTCCTGACCTTTAACACGACTCTGGCTTCGAGGTGATGCTGGTGAAAGTGTTCAAGAGGCCAGGTGTGACATTTGTGTTAGGGCCAAGCCTCACAACCAAGCAGAAGCTATTTAAAGATTGGGGAAAAGGAGGCTGGCAGGAAACAGTACTAGTGTGTTCCTAAAGGAAGCAGAAAATGCATATAGGAGCTGCCCTGTCAAAGCTCCACATGTCCCTGGTGCTCTTTTGTGAATTAAAATTAATTAGGTACTTCCTGGCATATTTTTGGGGTGAGGAGGGTTGGGCCTTTTATGCCAGTTGTACTTTGAGTTTTTTGTGTCTTTTTAGAGAAGATTAAATAGTAATCATAACCTTGAAGGTAGTTGGTTTTCTTTTTTCAAGGTATCTCTTATTTAAAAGACAAAAATTTATTTTACATGTAAGTGTATATAAATATATCTGTGTGTGCACGTGTGTGTGTCTTTTGAGACATTCTTGCTCTGTGGTTCAGACTTGCTACTCACTGTGTAGCACAGGGTGGTCTCAGACACGTAATGATCCTCCTGACTCAAGCACCCAAATTTAGTGATTATAGATGTGAACTTGGCTTTATTTTATATTTTCTTTGGGGTTGTTTGAGGTATAGGATCTTGCTATGTAGTCCACATGGGCTTTAAATTTGGAATCTTCCTGCCTCAGTCTTGAGAGTCTGGGGCCACAGCACTATATGGATTCTAGGGGCTGGGTAGGTTGCTCAGTGGTTACAGTGTTTGCTGTTCAAGCATGAGGACCTGAATTCAGATTCCCAGCTTCCATATAAAGTGAGGTACTCTGGCTGAAATGGTTATATCCAGGTTAACTAAGATTGTTTCAAGAAAATTAGCTGAAATGATCAAGGAGAGGATATCCTAGCATTAGCTCTGGCCTTTGTTGAGCCTGCACATGCATTACCATACATGTATAAACCATGCTTACAAATACACATACAAATAAAAGGAGATGGATAGACACCCGCCATCCGAGCCCAGCTTTCAGATTCTGGGTCAGTGTTACTACTCTTTGTTAAGTCATTATTTACTTAATGTTAATAAGATTGCCTGTTTTATACTAAATGGTATATGAATGTTCCTAAAATGAAGCACAGGTTTCCTGACTCCAGCATTTAGCTTTCCTTAGGAGTTTTGAATCTTGAGAGTGATTCTTACAGGCCAGTGAACCTTAAGTAGGATGATTGCTCCCTCTGGTTTGCTATGGCACTGGTTGGTTACTCGTTAGAACAAGAAACTACGGCCACATAGTGTCTCGCGCTACCGTCTCGCCAGCAAGAACGATGCGGCACACTCAGGATCCTTCTGCAGTAAAGCTTTAATGCATCTTGAGAGGGAGAGCATAAGCTTACAGAGCGGAGACCCCAAACATCCAAAACCCAACCCTTATATAGGTTTACAACCTTCGCCTCGGACGTGTCACCTCCTGATTGGCTGCAGCCCATCGGCCCATGTGACGCCATGGGAGAGGCAGAGGCCAAGGGAGGGAAAATCACCCTGCACCTGCGCACTGACTTGTTTACTCTCAATGCCAGCGGGATGCAGGCGCCATCTTGTAATGCAGAATGCCGGGCCGGCTCCCTACAACATAGTAGCACAATGTGTTTTCTACCTGTAAGGCATATGTGCTCAATTTTAAGGAGTGTAAGGGATACACAGTTCAGGGTAAGTGATGAAGGCCCAAGAGATATAGAGGAGAGGACTTTGCTTAGGTTTGTATGGCAGAGGAAAGCCACATGGTCTTTGCAGTTCCTTTGAGATGTGGGTAGATTTTTATTAATAGAACCATCAGTCACAGTGGTGGCGGTGAGATATTAGCAAACAATAACATGCTAAGAATGGGGGAATAAAAAGGAGTGGGTGAGATGGTCTAGGAGTTAAGGCCAATTAGATCTTGAGGGATAGCCTAACAACAAACTTCATTTAGTTTACATAATTAATGTTCCAGTTTGCTTCCCTGGTGTTGTGATTAACACCATGGCCAAAAGCAATTTGGGGAGAAAAGGATTTACTTCAGCTTATATTTCTAGGTAAGTGTTGATCACTGAGGGAGACTATGGCAGGAACTCAGGACAGGAAACTAGAAGCTGGAACTTCAGCAGAAACTATGGACTACTGCTTGCTCTATAACCAGGGCTCAGCTGGCTTACTTATCCAGCCCAGGCCCAACTGCCTAGTGGTGCTGCTGCCCACAGTGGCCTGGACTCTCCACATCAATTCAATCAACACAATTAGCCTATCTGATAAGGCAGTTTTTCAATTGAAGTTGCCTTGAACCAATTAACTGTAGGTTGTATCTAATTGATAGTTAAAAAAGAACCAGCACAACTGACTTCCTAAGGAAAGCTACTCATGTGGCCTCCTAGAATTCTGGTGTCCTTAGCTATGGAATGATGGACATAAATGAATTGGCTTTTAAAGCTGTCTCCAATGTACAGATTTCATAATTGGCAGCATTGTTAAAAGCTCTTAATAAACATTTGACACATAATATAAAAAGGGGCACAGATAGTGTCCAGCTTGTACCAT